TCTACCTTTCAGAACAGCTTTAGTAGAATAAGTATTGTTTTTTCTTTAAACGTTTGATAGAATTCCCCTGGGAAGCCATCTGGCCCTGGACTTTTGTGTCTTGGGAGGTTTTTGATGACTGCTTCAATTTCCTTGCTGGTTATTGGCCTGTTCAGGTTTTCTATTTCTTCTTGTTCCAGTTTTGGTAGTTTGTGGTTTTCCAGAAATGCATCCATTTCTTCTAGATTGCCTAATTTATTGGCATATAGCTGCTCATAACATGTTTTTAAAATCGTTTGTATTTCCTTGGTATTGGTTGTGATCTCTCTTTTTCATTCATGATTTTATTAATTAGAGTCTTTTCTCTTTTGTTTTTAATAAGGCTGGCTAATGGTTTATGCATCTTATTAATTCTTTCAAAGAACCAACTCCTGGTTTTGTTGATCTGTTCTACAGTTCTTCTGGTCTCTATTTCATTGAGTTCTGCTCAAATCTTTATTAACTCTTCTTCAGCTTGGTGTAGGTTTTATTTGCTGTTCTCTCTCCAGTTCCTTTAGGTGCAAGGTTAGCTTGTGTATTTGAGTTTTTCCAATTTTTTGAGGGATGCTTGTATTGAGATGTATTTCCCTCTCAGGACTGCTTTTGCTGTATAAGATTTTGAACAGTTGTATCTTCAATCTCATTAGTTTCCATGAATCTTTTTAATTCTCTAACTTCCTGGTTGGCCTTTCATCTTTTAGCAAGATGGTCTTTAACCTCCACGTGTTTGAATTTCTTCCAAATTTCTTCTTATGATTGAGTTCAAGTTTCAAAGCATTATGGTCTGAAAATATGCAGGGGACAATCCCAATCTTTTCGTATCGGTTGAGACCTGATTTGTGACCCACTATGTGGTCTATTCTGGAGAAAGTTCCATGGGCACTTGAGAAGAATGTGTATTCAGTTGCATTTGGATGTAAAGTTCTGTAAATATCTGTGAAATCCATCTGGTCCGTGTATCATTCAAAGCTCTTGTTTCTTTGGAGATGTTGTGCTTGAATATATGTCATTTGCAGGAAGTGATGTATTGAAGTCTCCTATTATTGGTGTATTATCATTTAAGTATGTCTTTAGTTTGGCTATTAATTGATTGATATACTTGGCAACTCCCACATTCAGGGCATAAATATTCATGATTGTTAGGTCCTCTTGTTGGATAGATACTTTAAGTATGATATAGTGTCCCTCTTCATCTCTTACTACAGTCTTTGGGATAAACTTTATCTGAAAATGAGGATTGCTCCCCCTGTTTTCTTTTGAGGATCATTTGAATGATAAATGGTTCTCCAACCTTTTATTTTCAGGCTGTGGTGTCCTTAGGTCTAAAATGAGTCTCTTGTAGACAGCAAATAGATGGGTCTTGCTTTTTTATCTAGTCTGAAACCCTGCGTCTTTTGATGAGATCATTAAGCCCATTCACGTTTAGAGTTACTATTGAAAGATATGAATTTGGGGATCCCTGGGTGGTGCAGTGGTTTAGCGCCTGCCTTTGGCCCAGGGCGCGATCCTGGAGACCTGGGATCGAATCCCACGTCAGGCTCCCGGTGCATGGAGCCTGCTTCTCCCTCTGCCTATGTCTCTGCCTCTCTCTCTCTCTCTCTCTCTCTCTCTATCATAAATAAATAAAAAAAAGAAAGATATGAATTTACTGTCATCATAATACCTATTCAGTCCCTGTTTTTGTGGGTTATTTCTTTGGGCATCCTCTTTCTTTTACAGAGTCCCCCTAAACATTTCTCGTAGAGCTGGTTTGGTGGTCACATATTCTTTCAGTTTCTGCCTATCTTGGAAGCTCTTTATCTCTCCTTCTATTCTGAATGAGAGCATTGCTGAATAGAGTATTCCTGGCTGCATGTTCTTCTCATTTAAGACCCTGAATATATCCTGCCAGCCCTTTCTGGCCTGCCAGGTCTCTGTGGAGAGGTCTGCTGTTAATCTAATATTTCTCCCCATATAAGTTAGGGATCTCTTGTCTCTTGCTGCTTTAAGGATTTTCTCTTTATCTTGGAATTTGCAAGTTTCACTATTAGATGTCAAGGTGTTGAATGGTTTTTATTGATTTTAGGGGGGATCTCTCTATCTCCTGGATCTGAATGCCTGTTTCCCTCCCCAAGTTAGGGAAGTTCTCAGCTATGATTGGTTCAGATATGCTTTCTGGTCCTCTTGTCTCTTTCGGCGCCCTCTGGCACCCTAATTAAATGTATATTTTTCCTTCTGAGGCTGTCATTTATTTCCCTTAACCTTTCCTCATGGCCTTTTCAGTGTTTTTCTCTTTTTTCCTCAGCTTCCTTCCTTGCCATCAACTTGTCTTCTATGTCACTCACTCTTTCTTCTACCTCATTAACCCTCATTGTTAGGACCTCCAGTTTGGATTGCATGTCATTTGATTTTTAATTTCAGCCTGATTAGATCTAGATTCTGCAGTCATGAAGTCTCTTGAATCCTTTATACTTTTTTCCAGAGCCACCAGTAGCTTTATAATTGTGCTTCTGAATTGGCTTTCTGACATTGAATTGTAATCCAAACTCTGTAACTCTGTGGCAGAGAGTACTGTTTCTGATTCTTTTGTGGTGATTTCTTCTTTCTAGTCATTTTTCTCAGTGCAGAGTGGCTTGTTAGAAGCACAAACTCTTCTCTCTGTAGCATTCCAGCTGTTCTCTCTTTAAATCTCAGGTCAAATTCATAGGTTTTCTGGATGATTTGAAAGTTATCCTATGACTTTAAGAAGTTTAGCAGGCCTACTGCCTTGAATCCTCAGTCCTTGAGGACATGCACTATTTAAACCCCTTCAATATGCAATACTTTCATCTGCCTTGCACCTTACATTCTTACTGAGAAACACTCTTCCTGGGATCTTGACCTGAAGACATCATTAAGAAAATAAAGAGACGCACAGCAGAAAGAGTCATGCCCTTGTCCCAGGGAAGCCTCGGCAAGGAGCTTTTAATACGAAGTTCATTTAGGACTCCAAGAAGAAAAGGACAAAGGATATGAACAGTAAACTAAAGAAGAAATTGAAAAAGCCACCTCCCACATGAAGAAAGTTGAAAATTAAAAGCATTTAAAAAAGCAAAAGTGGGACACCTGGGTGGCTCAGCGGTTGAGCATTTGCCTTCAGCTCAGGGTTTGATTCCTGGGTCCAGGGAATCAAGTCCCACCCACATCAGCTTGCTTCTCCCTCTTCCTATGTCTCTGCCTGTGTCTCTCATGAATAAATAAATTAAAAATCTTAAAAAAAAAAAAAAAAAAAGCAGGGCAGCCCTGATGGCGCAGCAGTTCAGTGCCGCCTGCAGCCAAGGGCGAGATCCTGGAGACCCTGGATCGAGTCCCACGTCGGGCTCTCTGCGTGGAGCCTGCTTCTCCCTCTGCCTGTGTTTCTGCCTCTCTCTCTCTGCATCTCTATAAATAAATAAAATCTTAAAAAAAAGTAAAATTTCTTTATCTAAAAACATAGATAAAGGGGGGGATCCCTGGGTGATTCAGCAGTTCAGCGCCCGCCTTTGGCCCAGGGCATGATCCGGGAGTCCCGGGATCAAATCCCACGTCAGGCTCCCTGCATGGAGCCTGCTTCTTGCTTCTCCCTCGGCCTGTGTCTCTGCCTCTCTCTCTCTCTGTGTGTGTCTCTCTTATTTACTTATTCATGAGAGACACAGAGAGAGAGAGAGAGAGGCAGAGACACAGGCCGAGGGAGAAGCAGGCTCCACGCAGGGAGCCCGATGTGGGACTCGATCCCGGGTCTAGGGGATCACGCCCTGGTCTGAAGGCGGCGCTAAACCGCTGAGCTACCCGGGCTGCCCAAATAAATAAAATCTTAAAAAAAAAAAAAAAAAGAATTATTAAAAAATAAAAATAAAAACAATGCTTGGTTTCCCCCCTCCTTATATTGATTAATAGAATATAGTTCAAAATCCCAGCTCAGAAATTGGCCTGCTACTTGATCCTGGTCAGATTTTTTTTACCTCTCTTTGCTGCAATTTCCTAACCTGTGAAATGGGATTAATCTGGAAAATGAGGGCTAAATGAGTTAATATAAGTAAAATTCTTAAAAGAGTACTTCACTGAAATGATAGTACTTCAGGAATATGGGGTTAAATAAAATATATTATTTTTTAAATGTTTTAAAGAGTACTTGGCACATGTTTATCTAATGTATGTAGCAGTAATGTTAGCACTATATAAATGTTACCTAATATAACAATTCTAACTTAAACACAGATTGGAGGATTGGATATAGAATATATACTGAAACAAACAATGAAATTATTTAAATTACAATGGAATTAAACAATGAAATTAAAGGTAAGCAGGCAATACGAGACCAATAGGAATAATCTGATCTAAAAAAGAAGCAAAGGATTTTCTAGAAATGTAATTATTAAATTAGAAAAAATCAATAAGAAGATTAAACAGGTTTTAAGACACCTAGATATAAGGGCAGCTGGGTGGCTCAGTGGTTGAGCAGCTGCCTTTGTCTCAGGTCGTGATCCCAGGGTCCCCACAAGGAGCCTGCTTCTTTCTCTGCTTATGTCTCCACCTCTCTATCTGTGTCTCTCATGAATAAATAAAATATTTTTTAAAAGACACATAAAAATAAATTCAGATATATCAATAATCATAAAAATAAATGAACTAAACTCACCAGTTAAATGATAGATTGCTCAATTGTATTAGGAAATCCAGTCAAATACTGTTTAGAAGAGAGGGACATAAAACATAAGGACATATAAAAGTTGAAAGTAAAAGTAAGTGAAAAGACATACTTGGCAGGTATTAGCTAAAGGAAAGTTTGATGGCATGTTAGCATTGAAATAGGTTTTATGACCAAACAGAAATCAAAAAACCCAAAACATTATTAAACAAGATTGAGTTCATCAAGAGTATATAATAATTTTAATTTTGTATGCGTCTGATAAGACAGGCTTAAAAATATAGAACAATAAGTAATAGAATTATAGAAAGATATTAACAAATCTACCACATAATCCAAGGTTTCAATATCCATCCATTAACTTTACTCAGTGAATATATATGGGTGCCTGCATGCTAAGAAGTCCTACTTATTGGTGATACGGCTATGAATAAAACAAACAAACAAAAAAATCCTCAAGCTTTTTGTAGCTCTTTTTATAATGGAAGGAGAGAACAAAATATACAACTAAATAAAACCTTGTAAAAATATACCCCAAATCTCATGAATTCTGAGATTATGGAATGGAAAATTTGCTTCCATCTACCAACAGAACCCCACAGGTAGAACAAAGGAAGGATGGAGACTAAAGCTTTTATCTTCTGAGGTTGGTATCTGGGACAGGTAGAGTGGGGGGAGCCAAGCAGAAAAATAACACGAAACCCAGAGGGGAGGTGTTCAGTAATCTCCCAACTCAATATTCCCAAAGTGGGCCCAGAAAACTGGCATGCTGGAGCCAGGAATTTCCTGGAATCATTGATGCTTTCCTGAAGTCCAATCAGCTACAGACAGAGTTGCTCCCAACAATGTGTAAGCTGGAATGGATAATCACCACCAGATGGTGCCAAACTGCAGTGGGGACCAGGATGGATGCGGACATTGAAGCAACAGCCTCAGCACTGTGCAGGCTTTCCTACTCATTTTGTTAATCTTACTCTGAAAGACAGGAAGAAATAAATCAAAGACAAGGTTGGAAAAGAAGACAAAGGATTTCATTATTTCACAAATGATAACGATAATCTCCTTAAAAATCTAAAAGATGGGATCCCTGGGTGGCGCAGCGGTTTGTCGCCTACCTTTGGCTCAGGGCGGGATCCTGGATACCCGGGATCGAATCCCATATCGGGCTCCCGGTGCATGGAGCCTGCTTCTCCCTCTGCCTATGTCTCTGCCTCTCTCTCTCTCTCTCTGTGACTATCATAAATAAATAAATTTTTTAAAAAATCTAAAAGACAACTTACAATAAGACATACGAGTTTACTGTGAGATCAATATGCAAAACTCAACTGCATTTCTATAAAATCTGATAAGCACTCAGCAAACGTTTCTATAACAAGCACATAAAAAACATAATTTAAAAAGATATTCCATTTAAATAGCTCAAATATAAGATGCTTAAAATTAAATCTACTAGATGTATAAGGCTGGTACAGGAAAGAAGAAACTATGAAATATTATAAAAGGACACTCAGAAGACCTAAATGAATGGAGAAATATGCTATATTTGTGGAAAGGAAAGTTCAACTTTTTTAAAAAAGTGAGGTCTCATCAATGCAGAAATCTGTTGCATTTCTATATGCCAATAATGAAGCAGCAGAAAAAGAAATCAAGGAATCAATCCCATTTGCAATTGCACCAAAAACTAAGATATCTAGGAATAAACTCAACCAAAGAGGTAAAAGATCTGTACTCTTAAAACTATAGATCACTTATGAAAGAAATGGAAGAGGACATAAAGAAATGGAAAAGCATTCTGTGCTCATGGATTAGAAAAACAAACATTGATAAAACATCTATACTACCCAAAGCAATCTACACCTTTAGTATACTCCCTATGAAAATACCACCAGCATTTTTCACAGAACTAGAACAAACAACCCTAAAGTTTGTATGGAACCACAAAACCCTGAATAGCCAAAGCAATTTTGAAAAAGAAAAACAAAACTGGAGGCATCACAATTCTGGATTTCAAGATCTGTTACAAAGCTGTAGTCAAGACAGTATGGTACTGGCACAAAGACACATAGATCAATGGAACAGAATACAGAATCCAAAAATGGACCCAAAACTAAACGGTCAACTAACCTTCGACAAAGCAGGAAAGAATATCCAATGGAAAAAAGACAATTTCTTTTTTGGTGTGGGGAAAACTGGATGATAGCAACATGCAGAAGAATGAAACTGGAACACTTTCTTATATCATACACAAAAATAAATTCAAAATGTATGAAAGACCTAAATGTGAGATAGGAATCCATCAAAACTCTAGAGGAGAACACAGGCAGAAACCTCTTTGAGCTCAGCCACAGCAACTTCATGCTAGACACATCTCCAAAGGCAAGGGAAAAAAAGTAAAAATGAACTATTGGGACTTCATCGGGATAAAAATGTTCTACACAGCAAAGGAAGCAATCAACAAAACTAAAAGGCAGCCTATGGAATGGGAGAAGATATTGGCAAACAACGTATTTGATAAAGGGTTAGCATCCAAAATCTATAAAGAACTTATAAACTCAACACCCAAAAAACAAATAATCCAATTAAGAAATGGGTGAAAGGGGCAGCCCGAGTGGCTCAGCAGTTTAGCACTGCCTTCAGCCCAGGGTGAGATCCTGGAGACCCGGGATCGAGTCCCACGTCAGGCTCCCTGCATGGAGCCTGCTTTTCCCTCTGCCTGTGTCTCTGCCTCTCTCTCTCTGTGTGTCTCTCATGAATAAATAAATAAAATCTTAAGAAAAAAAAAAGAAACGAGTGGAAGATGTGAATAGACACTTTTCCAAAGAAGACATCCAGATGGCTAATGGACACATGAAAAGGTGCTCAACATCACTCATCATCAGGGAAATACAAATCAAAACCATGATGAGATACCACCTCACACTTGTCAGAATGGCTAAAATTAACAAATCAGGAAATGACAGATATTGACAAGGATTCAGAGAAAGAGAAGCCCTCTTGCACTGTTGATGGGAATGCAAACTGGTGCAGCCACTCTGAAGAACAGTATGGAGGTTCTTCAAAAAGTTTGTTTATAGCAGCATTATCAACAATAGCCAAACTATGGAGAAGAGCCCAAATGTCCATCGAATGATGAATGGATAAAGAAGATGTGGTATATATATATATACACAATGGAATATTACTTGGCCACCAGAAAAAGAAATTTTGCCATTTGCAACGATGTGGATAGAGCTAGAGTGATTATACTAAATGAAATAAGTCAGTCAAAGAAAAATACTATATGATCTCTTCATATGTGGAATTTAAGAAACAAAACAGATGAACATATGGGAAAGGGGAAAAGGAGAAAAGAAGGGAAACAAGCCATAAGAGACTCTTAATGATAGAGAAAACTCCAGGGTAGTTGGAGGGAGGTGGGTTGGGAATGAGCAAGATGGGTCATGAGTATTAAAGAGGGCACTTGTGATGGGCACAGTGTATTGTATATAAGTGACAAATCACTGTATTCTACTCCAGAAACCAAGATTGCACTGTATGTCACTAACATTTAAGTTACAAAAAAATTAAGTGCTAGGGTCAGGGCCAATTACATTGTTACATTGGTTCATGTGGTCTTTAGCACACCCCTCTGTGATGGGTGTTACCATATTTTGCAGGTGAGGAACTTGAGGTGAAGAAAGTTGTGCTGAGCCCCATATCAGTGATCTGTAGAAGTGGGACTCCCACTCTGCCAAGCACAAACCCAGGATAGATCCTGATTCAGCTACTTCCTGTTTTTCCAGCCACCAGCAGTTTGTGGGTCACTTAAATCTGAGGAGCCACAGTTTCTTCAGGTGGACATAATAAGGAGGTCCACAAAATTTAGCAAGAATTACCATGTGGCATTGCTTAGACTAGCAGCAATAAACAAAATAACAAAACAAAAACCCTACCTGAAATGTCCACTAGAAGCTGATTTACTGAGGTGATGTGGTGTATATTATATGGTGAAGTATATTAAATTAAGTCAACTAAATAAATTAATATATTCAATTTCATAATTAAATATATTGAATTAAATTGGATGTATTAAGTAAGTGTTGACAGCAGAATATGCTCATAATAAAACTTAAGTTAGGGATCCCTGGGTGGCGCAGCGGTTTGGCGCCTGCCTTTGGCCCAGGGCGCGATCCTGGAGACCCGGGATCGAATCCCACGTCGGGTTCCCGGTGCATGGAGCCTGCTTCTCCCTCTGCCTATGTCTCTGCCTCTCTCTCTCTCTCTCTGTGTGACTATCATAAATAAACAAAAAAAAAATTAAAAAAAAATAAAATAAAACTTAAGTTACAAAAAAGTACTTACTGGGTGACTTTTGGGTTAAATATGATAATAAATATAACTAATATCTATACAAATATAAATAATACAATAAAAATGAATTCTCCCAAAATTGACCAGTAGAGCTAATATAATTCCAGGTATCAACAGAAGTTTTTGTGAAACATGACAGATGATATTGATATGTTATATGGCAAAGGGAAGTATCCAAGGCACTCCTTAATAATAAGAGGGAACTTGGCCAACCAGACACTGAAACTAATGATGAAGTCATGATAATTGATAGTGTTGCTTTGGCAAAGGGAAAACCAAATGATTAGTTGAACAAGAGAGCCCAGAAAGATTCAAGAACATATGGAAAGTTGATATATGACAGATGTGGCCATGCTGATCAGTGATGAAAGTTCAAACTTAGATTAAAGAAACAGATGAGTTTCTACTAATAATAAATAAATAAATAAGGAAGAAGGAAGAATTTTCCCATATAGTAGAATTTCATGCAGAAGGAATGATGGAGGTAGAAAATCACCATTTGGCAAGCATTGTAGTAAAAATTTACTCAGGCAAAATTATCAATGGATTCCAAAACTATTGGGTTGATATTTGATGAAGAACAGGATAGTTACATAGTCTCAAAGATCTCTCCACAGATTACTTATTATTTACAATGGGGGAAATAGTGCTTATAAAGTGGATAAACCTGGAAGACATCATCTTAACCAACAAATCCAAGTTGCCATCACCAAAAATGGAGAAAAATGACATATGGGTTTCCTGAGTGTTGCACTGAAAAGGACATGACCTCACTTACATAGTAATCCTGCCAAAAATTCACAGCCTAAATCTAATTATGAAGAAACATTCTTTTTTTTTAATTAATTTTTATTGGTGTTCAATTTACCAACATACAGAATAACACCCAGTGCTCATCCCGTCAAGTGTCCCCCTCCGTGCCCGTCACCCATTCACCCCCACCCCCCGCCCTCCTCCCCTTCCACCACCCCTAGTTCATTTCCCAGAGTTAGAAGTCTTTATGTTCTGTGTCCCTTTCTGATATCTCCCACACATTTCATGAAGAAACATTCTATGAAGAAACCCCACACTGAAGGACAGTCACAAAGTAATTGGCCTAAACTGTTAAAAAATCTGAAGGTCAAAAAACACAAAGACTGAGGAACTGTTCCAGATCAAGTGAAACTGGAGAAAACTAAACAGAATATGTGACCCTGACCTGGATCCTTTGGTAAGGGATGTGGGCTATGGCCATGGAGGAGTGGAGTGGGACAGCTATAAAGCATATTTTATTAGGGTAAATGTGGAAATTTGAACGTGGACTGTAGATTATTGAGTAACATAAGCAGTGTTAAATTTTCTGATTTTGATAACTGAGTGTGTTTAATCCTTATTTTTAGAAAACATACACCCAAGTATTTAGAGGCAAAGGAGCATGCTATATGCAATTTATTCTCAAATGCTTCAGAAATAACACTATGCATAAGAGAAAGAGAACCAGAAAACAAATATGGCAAACTGATCATTGCTGAATCTGTTGAAGGGTATGAAGGAACTTTTTTGTAATATTTTTAAAACTTTTCTGTGCTTTAAATTGTTTTAAAACAAAAAGTTAAAAAATAGCAAGAGAATGATAAATACAAAACCTCTGGGAGGGAGGAGAAACCAGAGAATAGGAAGGGGAAGAACACAGGTAGATGTAACAGTACTATTATGTTCCAGTTCCTAAATTAAACAATGGGATTGTGGACATTCGTTTTATTATTTAGCTTTAACAATGATATATACTATATATTTTGTCCATATCAAATATTATATATTTTAAAAAGAGTAAAACAAAAGAGTAAAAGGGAATTCAGCAGGTTAAAGGTCTACCTTCAGTTCAGGTCATGATCTCAGGATCCTGGGATTGAGCTCCCTGCTCAGTGGGGAGTCTGATTCTCCCTCTCTCTCCACTGCTTGTGCTTGCTTGTGCTCTCTCTCTCAAAAAAAATAATAAATAAATAAATTTTTAAAAAGAGAATGAAAGAGAAAACGAAAAACGTAATATGGCATGAATCAGGTATCTGATGAGCTATGTGTATGTGTGACCCACATGCCCTTGAGCATGCTTCTTTTCCTTCCTGCAGTTCACTTTCCTCACCTATGGAAAGGAGATAAAAGACCCACTGTGCATTTTGGTTGAAAGGGCTTAGCAGTTAGTGCTCATTAAGTGGCAACTGCTTTTTTATTTGCTCTGATAAGGCAGAGATAAAGGGAGTACACCTATAGCAGTAGGCTTGGTTAAAGTGATAGAGGTTTCAAATCGTCTATATAGCCAATTGGAAAAGAGGGTATCTAGGGAGTAAAATTGAGCTCATGTTGGAAATCCATCAAATAATTACAAAGCCAGTGAGCTCTGTGTATCTTTTTCCAAACTGTGCTCCATAATCTAGAAGTAAGCTTTGGAAAAAAAAAAAAAACAGATATTTAGGTTGGAAGGTCTAGAGGAAGGTCAATGAAGCAAAAAGTCTGCTGAGTATGAGGCAGGTTTAACTGGTCAGGGCATCCTGCCTAGGCAGTAAGGTTTCTTTTATCTAAAATTCTGAGAAAGAAGGTGGAAGATATAAAGTAAGCTGATAATTTAGGAGATTAATTAGACACAGTAGGAAAGCACACCTAGCAGAATAATGCTTTTCCCAGTGCAATTTAAATGAATCCATTCCTGCCTCTTTCTAGCACATAAAAAATAATTCTTACATGATATATGTACACTCTGTTTAGACAAATTCCCTTATGGCTTACCTCCTTTTTATATACCAAAAGCCTTGAACAAATTGCAAAAAACAACAAAAAAGCAAGCAAATGTGTATTGAGCAGCCACTTAATTTAAAGATAGCTCTGTTATAAGGGACAACATAGAGGAGCTATTATAAGCCAGTCCATAGTTGATTTAAATTTAATTTTCAACATTAATGGCTTTATAAAAATGAGTATATGTATATACACATATCTAACTTAAGCTCATCATACATAAAACTAAATTCATAAAGTGTGAACAGTAGAGCAAATTTGATGATGTTTATACATTACTAACAGTCAATTCAGTGAAGAAATTAATAATATCAATTGTTTGCCATCTCAAACCCCAATGGTTTTTCCATTTAGATAGCATACAGAGATAATCTATCACCCTAAGTTACTAGAAATATTGCCAAAGAACAACTACCCTAGCTGTTAGTATATAGGAGATGCTTTTGGTTACTTGCTTTGGTGTTTAGTTTCTTAAATATTAATTATTTAAATTTTATATCAACTATTATCACTTTATTTTTATATTGATATAATACATACATTCATTAACACAGTTTTATCCGTAATTTTCCTTTCCTTGCTTCATATACTGTAAATACACAGATAATTCCAGAGAGGAAGGCAGGCATATATAATATTAAAGTTGGGGATTTTAAAAGAAATTCATTATAAAATTCTTAGAGTTATATGTACAAGAATTGGTAACCCGAATATCGCCTTGTTTTTACCTTGACAGTTTTATATCAGCCACTGTGTTCTCCAGAAATATAATTATACAGAGAAGTTATAATAACTAATGTAAATGTACTGAGAAATGCAATTTTAAAGGAATTAGAGAGTATGGAAAAGGATGATACACTTGCAGAGACATAAGAATGTTGTATTTGAATCAATGTGATAAACTAATCACAGGGAGGCACTGGTGAAAGGAAAGGATTTTCAAAAAAATGATAAGTCATGTGTGAACAACTGAAAATCACATTTTCCAAGGCAGTTCAAAGAATGGTAATGTTAATCTTATTTTAAACCTATTGATTAAAAAAAAAGGATGACTCAATTCATTACTTATATTTCTGCCAAAATTATCTTTGAAAAACAAATTTCATAATGAAAGGTAAAGAAAATAATGTGCTATCACAGGATTTTAAATAAAAAATAGGGGTTTCTGATTCAATATGGTAAATAGAACGCATCACTTCCATTCTCTCCTGAATGCCCCTTACAGTGACAATAATCATATCTAAAATATACAGGTCTAAAATATTTTTTTAAAAGCTCAGGAGAGAAGACACAGTAGGAAGGAAATATCAACATGCTTTGGAGGATGGAAAGCTAATGACTTAGAAGAGTTGGAGAAGCTGAACCTGGGTGTCTTTGGCAGGAGGAAAGAGAACAAGCTGCAAAAGCTTGTATGGGGTTTTGTAGAAAGGGACTTTGAGGTGCACATCTGGGATTAAGAGAATCATTTAGAAGTGAGTGTAAGTGACATTAGGTCTCATAGAGCCTGGTGACTTTCTCTCCCAAATTCTCAGATTTAAGATTGATTCCCTATAGAGCATGAATCAAAAAGATTCTGAACTTAAAGACAGGAGGTACAGAAAGCTCTAGGGGAGCTGAGGGGCTAAAAATTGGTAGATTAAATGGAAGTCCATGTAATTATCAGAGAAAAACATCCTCACCTACCTACCACCAGCCCTCTTTCCCTATCTAGGTCCTTGAACGTGTCAGCCAGACACAAGACCTGAGTCTCTTTCTGTGCAGAAACTGAATGCCCCCTGAGAATACCCTGCATACTCAAAGCCATTTGTAGGCACCCAAAGTCTCAAACAAATAGGGAGAAAACCTGTAAAGAAGAAAATATGATTCTAGACACAAAGGATCCAACAGAAAAGAGGGTGAGAGGATTTTCCAGAACAATAGCAAAAGACAGTGAAGGATGACAAATCATAAAATAGGGCTAGAAAGCAATCAGTCAAGATTGGAGCAAGAGAGCTAAAGTTTCTGGAAATAAATTAAAAATGGAATTCAGATTATCTGACAAGTATTGGGTTATGTGAAAACTTACTTAGATGACTACCAAATGAATTATTGACTCCAGGGAAAGAGAAAGAAGTGTAATCATGGTATTTTACTAAGGTCAGCAGTGAAAAATATGTTGGCAGTCAAAATAATGTGAATATGGGATAAACCTTAGACAAATCTGTGGCTTAATTATATTGGGAAGTGAGAAGGAAGGAACATAGGGTGGTTATATAAGAGGTAGATCTTCATTTACCAATGTGAAAAGATCAATTGATCATGTATAAAATGGCTGTATCATGATACAGCAGCATAAATAAGAATTTTTATGTAAAAAGATAAATACCAGAAGGCATAGAGTAAAGATCAGAAATTGATTGGTGAGATTGGGCACAGGAAGGGGTGGGTCATTTTTTTTAAATTATAACTTTCAAAAAAAAAATAAAAAAATTATAACTTTCAAAAAACTATAACTGTTATATTCTACTATTTTAATTATATTAGTGAAAAATAGTAATACATGGGCTTATGTTCTGTGTTTCTCAATAATTTTTAACCTATGATTGCATTTGATAAACAAAAAATAACCAACAAACCCACATATTCTTTCAATGTTATTTGGAAATTAAAATAAAACAAACTTTGTAACTAAAACCAATTTAAAGCAATGAGACAAAATGCTGTTTTGCTTTCAAACTGAACATGTCCCTCTTGCCCCTACTCCAGAATTAAATAAGAACATGCCTCTCCATCCTTGCAAAGATAACAGCTGTTCACTTTTTCTCGTTTCTTGGCTGAGGATCTTAGTGTCTCCTTATTTCAATCAATCCAATTTAATGCATTCGATACAAACTCTTTTCTGTCTGCTTTCAATGCCTGTTCTCCTCTTTCCCTGCCCTCTACCTATCTAACCTTATTTTCCATTACATCACAAAAGGCAACTCCTGTTCATGTTGGATGGCTCTCTCAGAACCAGGCATACATACCCTAGGCCACGCCTGCTCTCATCTTTTAAGTTAAGCTATTGCCTGAATACTTGGGCCCATCTCAAGGACCTGGCCAAGGCCTTCCTGTCCTTCAAGAGGAGCAAAGATATTTCTTTTCTTTCCCTTTTTCTTTTCTTTTTTTTTTTTTAAGATTTTATTTATTTGGGAGGGAGAGAGAGAGTGAGCAAGAGAGCCCACAGGAGTGGGGGAGGAGCAGAGGGAGAGGGAGAAGCAGGATCCCCACTGAGCAGGGAGCTTGATGCAGGGCTCCATCCAAGGACTCCAGGATTACAACCTGAGCCCAAGGCAGGTGCTTAATAGACAAAGCCACCTAGACGCCCTGAGCAAAAATATTTCTTACCACAATTCTACTATTTTATCATCTTCAAAACTTTGGTTTTTGTCATTAAAACTTATAGAAGAGGGAATCCCTGGGTGGCTCAGTGGTTTAGCACCTGCCTTTGGCACAGGGCGTGATCCTGGAGTCCCAGGATTGAGCCCCGCATCGGGCTCCCTGCATGGAGCCTGCTTCTCCTTCTGCCTGTATCTCTGCTTCTCTCTCTCTCTCTCTCTCTCTCTCTCTCTCTGGGTCTCTCTGGGTCTCTCATGAATAAATAAATAAAATCTTTTAAAAAAAACTTATATAAGAAAAAAACTGAATGAAAGAAACCTTTTATGACCTACTTGGGCAAAAAGAAAATTTAAACAAATGAACATTTGTCCAAATTCAAGAGACTGTGCTAAATCTATTGCATTGGTACCTACCAATGACTTTCAAAATGTGATGTGCCAGTGATTTTTTTCAGCATTATGCCATTCTCTATGAAAGAAAGATCATCTTTTTAAAGCACCCAATCCCAACAACATGAATACACATATAATTTGTCATTGTCTATTGGAAGGGATAAATAGCAAATTAAGGCTACATTAAGATAAGCCAATAAATCTGGTTAAAATTTTTTATATTTATCTTTTCTGTTAATTATTTAAAGGTTCTCATTTTTATTATATTTATTGTACAAATAACAAGAATACCAAAGAACCAAAAAAGGGAAAAAATTATCTCTACTTTCACTCAAATGGTTTTCACTTGTTCATGTACTCTTCCATTTCTCAACCCTATTCATGTGTAATTTTACATACAAAGCATTCTACTTTTTACCCTTGGTATTGTAAACATTTTCATGTTGTAAGGCCTCCTTTGTGCTTAACATTTTAGTATTTATACTATAATCCATCTATTAATATCCATATAAGAATTCATCTATTGCAGTACCATAATTATTTGTGTCTCTATCATTAGTCATTTATAATTCTTTCTAATTTCTTCAGTAGGCTGTGAGCAAATAGGCAATCATATGCACTGACAGTACTTATCAAATTTTAAATGTGCATATCCTCTAACCTAATAAATCTACCTCGTGAAATCAATCCTTGAGAGATAATTATAAAAGTATGCAAATATAAGTATGCTACTTGCTGCGTTATCCAATGGTAAAACTAGAGATGTTCTAAAAGATCCATAATAATGTAATAGCTAAATAAATTTGGTATACCTGTATATAACATATTACATGGTGAATTAAAGATAATGAGTTAGATCTGTTTGAGTTGACTTAGGCTGACAAACTGATGAATGGTGGGGTGAAGGTGGGAAAAGAGGTTTAAATAAATAGTTGGAGCTCATTGTTGTAGGAAAAATACCAAATGTGTGTATATATAATAAATAGATACATAGGTGTTTGCACATACATAAGAAATAGATATAGATTATTAACAAACTCTTAATGATTATCCTTAAGAAGTAAGATTAGGCTGAGCAGTAAGAGAAACTTTTAATTTTTCTTTTTTTTTTATTTATTTATGATAGTCACACACAGAGAGAGAGAGAGAGAGAGAGGCAGAGACATAGGCAGAGGGAGAAGCAGGCTCCATGCACCAGGAGCCCGACGTGGGATTCGATCCCGGGTCTCCAGGATCGCGCCCTGGGCCAAAGGCAGGCGCCAAACCGCTGCGCCACCCAGGGATCCCTAATTTTTCTTTATATCCTTCGATATTATTTGAATTACCACAAACATGTATTACTTTTGTTATTTTTGAAAAATAAAATATAAATTATCTAAATAATACTCATTAGGGAATTGTTACTTTATTTTCATAGGCGGTCCACTCTGGCAGCTTTTTTTTTTTTTTTTTGCTCCAGTAGGAACAGGAGACTTGGCAAAGCTGGTCAGTCCTCTATACCTAAAAATGAAGGGACCCCAATCTTCTCTGGAATTGAACTCATTTTGGATCACCAGTATGTTCATTAGGTAATGAAAATCAACTTTGTATTTTGATGTGTTTCACTCTAAGTATTAGAGGGGCTTACTTAGATCAATCCGAAAATGCTTTCAACTTTAGGGTCTCTCAATTTTGCCCTTCTTAGAAACCTTGCGGTTTTTACAAACAGGAAAAGTTTCTATCAATCCTCAAAATCATCTAGAATTGTCAATTTTAGATTTTGTTTCTTTATTCTTTCATCTTATGCAAACTGGAGTGCAACTGTACACAATCAGATTTCTGACTGAGAAAAATTTTAATTTAAATTTAATTTAGAAAAATATGTAACAGATAAAATAAAAGTATACTGCAGGGTTTCCCAACATGAGTACTACTGACATTTTGCACTAAATAATTCTTTGTTGTTGGGGATGTCCTTAAACTCTACCTACTAGATACCAGTAGTGATGCCAGTTATGACAACCAAAAAATACCTTTAGACATTGCCAAATGTTCCAAGTTGGGAACTGATATAATCAAGAGGATTCAGCCACCAGAAAGAATAGACTAATTCTAAATATATTGATAGAAATTATTTCCAAAGTAAAATACTAAGTGAAAAATAAAATGTCCAAAAACAGTGTGTTGAGTCTGCAGACAGTATACTGATGTAGTATGGAGCTAACTACCTGAAGTAGAATCCCAGCTCTTCTAAACTGGCTGTGTGACCTTGGGCAAGTTACTTACCCTCTCTAATCCTCCACTTATTTATTTTTAAAAGGTACTATCGTACAGCTAAATATATATCATGCACCTGGTGTGAGGATTAAAGAAATCAATTTCTGTGAAATACTTAGTACAGAGACACCTGGGTGGCGCAGCAGTTGAGCATCAGCCTTCCGCTCAGGGTGTGATTCCAGGGTCCTGGGACAGAGTCCTGCATTGGGTTCCTTGCAGGGAACTTGCTTCTCCCTTTGCCTCTGTTACTACCTCTCTTTCTATGTGTCTCTCATGAGTAAACAAATAAAAAAACTTAAAAAAAAATGAAATACTTAGAACAGTGTCTGTCATAAATGTTGTCATTTGGGATCACTATCATCACCACCTTTTGTGAAAAAATATTTATAGACTATCTCCGGAAAGATTATAAGAAAACTGTTGAGAATGGTTTTCTCTGGGCAAAGAGATCAGGAAAACATAATTTATAATGGATGCTCTTTGGGGATTTTAATTTTTTCTACTATTATTTATTCAAATATTTAAAAAAATAATTTAGCTTAAAAAGGTTTTATGAACATATGTTGAACTCCTACCTTATATTTTTTTAAAAAGATAGATCGAGGGATCCCTGGGTGGCGCAGTGGTATGGCGTCTGCCTTTGGCCCAGGGCGCGATTCTGGAGGCCCGGGATCGAGTCCCACGTCGGGCTCCCGGTGCATGGAGCCTGCTTCTCCCTCTGCCTGTGTCTCTGCCTCTCTCTCTCTCTCTCTCACTGTGTGCCTATCATAAATAAATAAAAATGTAAAAAAAAAAAAAACAACAACAACAAAATGACTTAAAAAAAAAAAAAAGATCGAAACTTCTGAGTAGCTAGCTATTTTATCTCTGCTACAAAAATAACCAAAATCTGCTTGTTGGTGATGACAAGGTAACATCAAAATTGTCTCTTTTTTTTCCCCTAGGAGTAGAAGAAAAAACATAGAGAATCTTCATTCATTTCCAGTTTAACCTTATTAAACATCTTAATTTATAGTGAATCCCATGTTCACAGAAATAGGAAGGCAAAGTGGCAGATGGTTCAAAATATTGTGTAGCTTTATAATGTGATTTTTTTTTACCTTTTTACTTATATTTGAAAGTAAGTATGTCTCACCAGCACAAATATCTGTACAAAATATCACTATAACAGTGGAGAGGCACTAGAATTGAATTTAATAAGTAAAGGCAACAATTTATCAGAACATGTAGTTTCTTTCTTCTTTCTTTCTTTCTTTCTTTCTTTCTTTCTTTCTTTCTTTCTTTCTTTCTTTCTTTCTTTTAGAGAGAAAGGGAGAGCAGGGGATTGGCAGAGGGAGAGAGAGAATCTCAAGCAGACTCTGGGCTGAGTGCAAAGCCCGGCATGGGGCTTGATCTCACAACCCCAAGATCATGACCTTGAGATCATGACCTGACCTGAAACAAGAGTCAGATGCTCAACTGACAGAGCTACCCAGGTGCCCCAAAACACATAGTTCTAATAGTGACAGAAATGCACTTATTTGAAAATGTTTACAACTAAATGCCCATTGCAGTGAAATATGAAAAAGAATCAACTATTAAAAGATATTAAGGAGAAAACCTAGATTTCTAGTCTGGCACATAAAGAGTTTAGAAGTCGTCACGTGGTCCTAACAACAAGAAGCTGAACAAGCAGAAAAATCAACAACTCCTCTTAGATTCCTCAGAGAAATGAAGTCACAGGGCAAGCCACTTCCCCTGCCCCCCCTCCATATTGGAGAGATAGGCAGATACAGAGAATTACAATTTACTGGAGCAGAAACCTCCATGGGAACTAGTACTAGGATGACATGATTGTCTATGTAAAAATATGAAATAACCAACAACAACAACAAAAATTGAGCCTGGAACTATTAAGTGATTATAGCAAGACTGCAGCATACAAAGTTTATATACAAAAGTCAGGGGATCCCTGGGTGGCTCAGTGGTTTGGCGCCTGCCTTCGACCCAGGGCGTGATCCTAGGGTCCCAGGACCGAGTCCATGTCCGGCTTCCTTCGTGGAGCCTGCTTCTCTCTCTGCCTGTGTCTCTGCCTCTCTCTCTCTCTCTCTCTCTCTCTCTCTCTTCTCTCTCTCTCTCTCTGTGTCTCTCATGAATGAATGAATGAATAAATGAATGAATAAATAAATAAATATTTTTTAAAAAGTCAACTGATCTCCTATATACCAGCAATGAACAAGTGGGTTTTAAATTTAGAACACATTACCATTTACATTAGCACCCTAAAAATGAATAAATGAAATCAATCTTACAAAATATGTACAAGATCTATATGAGGAAAACTACAAAACTCTAATGAAAGACATCAAAGAAGAACTAAATAAATGGAGAGATATTCCACATTCATGCATAAGAAGACTCAATATTGTCAGGATGCCAATTCTTCCCAAATTGAACTATACATTCAATGCAATAGCAATCAAAAGCCTAGCAAGTTATTTTGCAGATATTGACAAACTGACTTTAAAGTTCACAGAGGGGCAAAAGACCCAGAATAGCAAACTCAATTTTGAAAGAGAAGAACAGAGTCAGAAGACTGACACTACTTGACTTGAATACTTACTACAGAGCTACATTAATCAAAATAGTATAGTATTGGTGAAAGAATAGACAAATCAACAGAAATGAACAGAGAGCCTAGAAATAGACCTACATAAGTAAAGTCAACTAATCTTTGACAAAGGATCAAAGATAATCTTTTCAACAAATGGTACAACTGGCCCACATGCCAAAAAAAAAAAAAGGAATCTAGATATAGACCTTACACTTTTCACAAAAATTTTTTTTTTTTTTATTATAAATTAATTTTTATTGGTGTTCAATTTACCAACATACAGAATAACACCCAGTGCTCATCCCGTCAAGTGTCCCCCTCCGTGCCCGTCACCCATTCACCCCCCACCCCCCGCCCTCCTCCCCTTCCACCACCCCTAGTTCATTTCCCAGAGTTAGAAGTCTTTATGTTCTGTGTCCCTTTCTGATATCTCCCACACATTTATTCTCCCTTCCCTTATATTCCCCTTCACTATTATTCATATTCCCCAAATAAGTGAGAACATACACTGTTTGTCCTTCTCCGATTGACTTACTTCACTCAGCATAATACCCTCCAGTTCCATCCACGTTGAAGCAAATGGTGGGTATTTGTCGTTTCTAATGGCTGAGTAATATTCCATTGTATACATAAACCACATCTTCTTTATCCATTCATCTTTCGATGGGCACCGAGGCTCCTTCCACAGTTTGGCTATTGTGGACATGGCTGCTAGAAACATCGGGGTGCAGGTGCCCCGGCGTTTCATTGCATCTGAATCTTCGGGGTAAATCCCTAACAGTGCAATTGCTGGGTCGTAGGGCAGGTCTATTTTTAATTCTTTGAGGAACCTCCACACAGTTTTCCAGAGTGGCTGCACCAGTTCACATTCCCACCAACAGTGTAAGAGGGTTCCCTTTTCTCCGCATCCTCTCCAACATTTGTTGTTTCCTGCCTTGTTAATTTTCCCCATTCTCACTGGTGTGAGGTGGTATCTCATTGTGGTTTTGATTTGTATTTCCCTGATGGCAAGTGATGCGGAGCATTTTCTCATGTGCATGTTGGCCATGTCTATGTCTTCCTCTGTGAGATTTCTCTTCATGTCTTTTGCCCATTTCATGATTGGATTGTTTGTTTCTTTGGTGTTGAGTTTAATAAGTTCTTTATAGATTTTGGAAACTAGCCCTTTATCTGATATGTTATTTGCAAATATCTTCTCCCATTCTGTAGGTTGTCTTTGAGTTTTGTTGACTGTATCCTTTGCTGTGCAAAAGCTTCTTATCTTGATGAAGTCCCAAGAGTTCATTTTTGCTTTTGTTTCTTTTGTTTTCGTGGATGTATCTTGCAAGAAGTTACTGTGGCCAAGTTCAAAAAGGGTGTTGCCTGTGTTCTCCTCTAGGATTTTGATGGAGTCTTGTCTCACATTTAAATCTTTCATCCATTTTGAGTTTATCTTTGTGTATGGTGCAAGAGAGTGGTCTAGTTTCATTCTTCTGCATGTGGATGACCACTTAGAACAAATTATTTTAAGATTTGTGTGGAATCAGAAAAAACCCCGAATAGCCAGGGGAATTTTAAAAAAGAAAACCATAGCTGGGGGCATCACAATGCCAGATTTCAGGTTGTACTACAAAGCTGTGGTCATCAAGACAGTGTGGTACTGGCACAAAAACAGACACATAGACCAATGGAACAGAATAGAGAATCCAGAAATGGACCCTGAACTTTATGGTCAACTAATATTCGACAAAGGAGGAAAGACGATCCACTGGAAGAAAGACAGTCTCTTCAATAAATGGTGCTGGGAAAATTGGTCATCCACTTTTCACAAAAATTAATTAAAAATAGATCATAGACCTAAATGTAAAATACCATACTATAAAACTTAAAGATAATATAGGAGAAAACTAATTGACTTTGGGTATGGAGATGACTTTTTTTTAAAAGATTTATTTATTTATTTATTTATTTGAAAGAGAAAGCACAAGTGGGGGGAGGGCTAGAGAGAAAGAGGGGGAGAGAAGCAGACTCCCCACTAAGCACAGAGCTCCATGCAGGGCTCCACGTGGGGCTCAATGCAAGGTTCAATATGGGGCTTGATGTAGTGCTTGATCAGACTCAACCCCAGAACCCTGAGAGCATGACCTGGACTGAAATCAAGAGGTGGTTGCTTAACCAATTAAGCCACCCATGAGCCCCTGGAGATGATTTTTTAGATACAACACCAAAAGCATAATCTATAAAAGAAATGATCTATAAACTGACTTCACTAAAATTAAAATCTTGTTCTCTGTGAAAGGCAATGTAGAGAAAATGGCAAGATACATACTGTAAGAAAATATATGTAAAACATACATCTGATAAAGGACTGTTATCCAAGTATACAAAGAGCTCTTTTTTTCCCTCTAGAGTTATTTGGCACATTTCTATATTAAAAAAAATAGAAACCATTTGATACATCTAAAACACACACATACTATAACTGAAGCATCTATCTTTAGCATCTGAAATATGAGCTATTGGATAAGGCTGTAATTGTAGATAGCACATCAATTCCCAAACTGAAAGATTCCCTTATTTATCTCAAAATTGCCCTGGGAAATGCTAGTTGTGCAATATTAACCATCTCTCCCAGGGGAACACTCTACCAATGCCTAGACATGACATTTATCTTCACTAAACACATATCCTTTGCCAAACCTGTTTGTGAAGCAATTCATTTGGAAGGTTTAGTTGATCAATCTAGTTTGCAGCCAATACACCTTCCAGTCCTTTAGTCAAAATTTGGAGCATGTCTTCAAGCCAAATTGGATCCCATATATAAAAAAGAACTATGAGCTAAACCTTAGTAAAACAATCCATAGTAACCACATAATCAAGATGAAAGGTTCACTGCTAAGCTAGGTTAAAATTGTATCCATATAAAAGGCACAGAAAAACTTTTTTGTTGTTTTTATAGTCAAAATAAATCAACCAAACTCTTTAATTTTCTCCCTTCTCTTCAACTAAAGAATTTCTCCACTGTGTAGTATAGTGTAATGGTTAAGACTACAGTTTCTGGAGTCAGACTGCCTACATTTGACTGGCACTTCCACCACTTACTAACTCCACATCCCTGGCCAAGTTATTTAACTACCTCAGGGCCTCAGTCACACCTTCTGTAGAAGAGGGCAGGCAA